CCTTTTCTTCTCTACTCTCCTCCTTTCTCTCTTTCTTTCCTCTTAGTTTCCATCCTCTCTAATCTAACTCTTTCTATCCACTCTCTCTGTCTCTCTCTCTTCCTCCCTTTCTGTCTTTCTCTCTCTCTCTCTCTCTCTGCCTCCTTCTCGCCTATCGCTTTCTTTCTTTTCTCCGGTTCTTCCCTCTCCTCTCCTCTCCTCTCTCTCTTGCTGACTCTCTCTCTCCCGCTCTACTTTCCTTCCTTTATCTCACTTGTCCTTCTTTCTCCTCTCACTCTTTCTTTCTCTCCCTCTCCCTCTCTCTGTTTGTCTTGTCTCTCTCTCCTCTCCCTCTTTCCTACCCCCCTCTCTCTTCTCCCTCTTAACTTTACTCTCTCTTTTTTTCCTCCCTCCCTCCCTCCCTCTCGGTTTGTGTCTCTCTCTTTTCTCTCCTTCTTTCCTATCCTCTCTGTCCTCTCCCTCTTCACTTTACTCTCTCATGTCCTGTCTTTCTTCACTCTTTCCACCATCTCTCCCTCGCCCTCTTTCTCCGTCCTTCTCTCTGTCTCTCTCCTCTCCTTCTTTCCTACCCTCCTCTCTTCTCCCTCTTAACTTTACTCTCTCTTTTCATCATCTCTCCTCTCCTCTCTCTCCTCTTCCCTCTCCTCTTCCTCTCTCTCTCTCTCTCTCTTCCGTCTTCGTGTGTGTCTCTCTTTCTCCTCTCCCTCTTTCTTATCCTCTCTCTCCTCTCCCTCTTCACTTTACTCTCTCATTTCCTGTCTTTCCACCATCTCTCCTCTCCCTTTCTTCCTCCTCTCTCTTTCTCTCTCTTCTCCTCTTCTCTTGTGTCCTCTCTCTCCTCCCTCTTCTCTCCCTGTCCCTCTTTTTTATCCTCTCTTCCTCTCCTCTCTTCACTTTTACTCTCTTTTACTCTCTTTCTTCCCTCTTTCCACCATCTCCTCCCTTCTTCTCCCTTCCTCTCCCTCTCTCTGTCTGTCCGTGTCTCTCTCTCATCTCCCTCTTTCCTACCCTCCTCTCTCTTCTCCCGCTTAACTTTACTCTCTCTTTTTTCCTCCCTCCCTCTATCTCCCTCTCTGTTTGTGTCTCTCTCCTCTCCTTCTTTCTTATCCTCTCTGCCCTCTCCCTCTTCACTTTACTCTCTCTCTTCTCTCTTTCTACCATCTCTCCCTCTTTCCCCCCCCTCTCTCTCCCTCTTGGTTTGTGTGTGTCTCTCATTCTCCTCTCTCTGTCCCTCTTTTTTTCCTCTCTCTCTTTCCTTTCCCTCTTCACTTTACTCTCCATTTCTCCTCTCCCTCTCGCTCTCTCTTTCTTCCCCTCTACCTCTTTCCTATCCTCTCACTCTTGACTTTACTCTCTCCTTTACTGTCTTTCTTCCCTCTTCCCTTCCTTCCTCTCCCACTTTCTGATGGTCTCTGTCTCTCTCTCCTCTCTCTCTTTACTTTACTCTCTCCTTTTCTCTCGTTTCACCATCTCTCCTCTACTTTGTCTCTTTCTCCGTCTCTCTGTCTCCCTCTTGGTTTGTGTCTCTCTTCTCTCTCACTCTCCTCTCCCTCTCCCTCTTTTTTATCCTCTCTCTCCTCTCCCTCTTCACTTGACTCTTTCCTTTAGTCTTTCTTTCCTCTTTCTACCATCTCTCTTCCCTTCTTCTCCCTCCCTCCCTTTCTCTCCCCCTCTCTGTCTGTCTCTCTCTCCTCTCCCTCTTTCCTATCCTCTCCCTCTTCACTTTACCCTCTCATTTCCTGTCTTTCTTCGCTCTTTCCACCATCCCTCCTCTCCTTCTTACTCTCTCCCTCCCTCTCTCTGTCTGTCTCTCCTCTCCCTCTTTACTTTACTCTCTCCTTTCCTCTCTTTTCATCATCTCTCCTCTCGCTCCCTCTCGTTTATCCTCTCTCTCTCTTCTCCTTCTTCACTTTACTCTCTTTTACTCGCTTTCTTCCCTCATTCCACCATCTCTTTTCCCTTTTTCTCCTTCCCTTTCTCTCCCTCCCTCTCTCTGTCTGTCTCTCTCTCCTCTTCCTCTTTCCTACCACCTCTCTCTCCTCTCTTCTTTCCTCTCTTTCCACCATCTCTCCTCTCCCTCCCTCCCTCCCTCCCTCTCTCTCCGTTTTGGCTAGTGTGTCTCTCTTTCTCCTCTCCCTCTTTCCTATCCTCTCTCTCCTCTCCCTCTTCACTTTACTCTCTCATTTCCTGTCTTTTTACCATCTCTCCTCTCCCTTTCTTCCTCCCTCTCTTTCTCTCTCTCCCTCTTGGTTTGTGTCTCTCTCTCCCTCTTCTCTCCCTGTCCCTCTTTTTTATCCTCTCTCCCTCTCCTCTCTTCACTTGACTCTTTCCTTTAGTCTTTCTTTCCTCTTTCTACCATCTCTCTTCCCTTCTTCTCCCTCCCTCCCTTTCTCTCCCCCTCTCTGTCTGTCTCTCTCTCCTCTCCCTCTTTCCTATCCTCTCACTCTTGACTTTACTCTCGCCTTTACTGTCTTTCTTCCCTCTTCCCTTCCTTCCTCTCCCACTTTCTGATGGTCTTTGTCTATCTCTCCTCTCCCTCTTTACTTTACTCTCTCCTTTCCTCTCTGTTCAACATCTCTCCTCTCCCTTTTTCTCTCCCTCCTTCTCCCTTCCTCTCCCCTTCTCCCTCTCTTTCCCTCTCTCTCCTGTTTTTCCATGGATGAGTGATGCCCATGACACAGAGCAGCCTCTCCGAGCCCCTTCTGGCCATTACAGCACACACATGTTCACATCAGAGACTCCCACATCACTTAACCAGTCGTCTTCAGGCTCACAGGGGCCGGTCTGCACCGCTCCACTCCTCCTCCTCCCTCCTCCTCCTCTCCTCACTCCCTCCTTCTCTCTCTCCACTTTCACACAGACTCTGCAAATACTGAATATTCACATTCTTCGCACTGACTCGGACGCACAATATGTGTCTTTGTAATTGTTTCTAGTTTGTTTTGGGGGGAAATTAAGCTTAACAGGAACATGAAATTGACTTATGTGAGCGTTTAAGTTAAAACAGTGGTGCTTCTTCGTTTGCATAATCCTGTATTGTCTCGCATTTGAGGCTTGAGTGCTCAGAACATGTCAGTTTTCACCTTCCCCTTATCTCCGCCCACAGCTTTGTACTTGCGTTTGATGGCTTATATTACGAGCTCTTATGTAACAACAACAACTGTGTGTGTGTGTGTGTGTGCAGATGCTTGTGCAGGAAATAGTCTGATATTGACATAAGATAGAGCTAAATTAAAATACTGTAAAGGCTGATTCTCGATTGTATTAAATTGATCTCAATACTGGTAAATAGACACATGCATATCCAACAAAATTGCAACTGCGTGATGAGTCCAGAAACAAAAACTGTGCAAAAAAGAAAGAGATCCGCATTGCAGTTTTTTGAAGCTCCCAAATTTTTATTTCAGTGAGACCACAATGTGACGTTTCAGGCCAAGCCCTTCTTCAGGTTCAGTTCTGAAAGGTTCAGTTTCACATCAAGCCCCGGGGTTTCAAAATGGTCGTTCATTCAATGGTGCATGATCCCAGATTCGCCTTTAGCCCGGCGAGGTACTTCCGGTGACTGTGGGCCGACCGAGCATGTGCAGTAGTGTCTTTTCTCCCGCGGGCACACGTGTCTGCACCCAAACACACGCTCAGAGCTTTGACCAACCAGAGCGAGAGGAGCTAGAGCGTAGCCGGAGCTAACGTTTATAAAGCATTTTTTAAGACAAATGAAGGATTTTGAGCTGAGAAAAAGTTTATAATCTAAAAATAGATAAAAATCGCCACAAAATCTGACGTTTTTGAAAGTTGTAGGTGCCCTGTCAGCCGAACACAAGTAGTTTGTGATTACTTTGTGCTCTCTAATCTTGTCTCGGCCCATGAAATTTTTTCCGCTGAAGTACCAGAGAGTGGCCACTACATCAACTGGAGGCAGCTACAAGCAGCAACACCCTATCCAGTTATTTTAATCTGTTATATATAGGCCCAGGTCTAGTCACCTGACCCACCATGTGATCAGTCCCAATCAAAGAAAAACATTTTGATTACAAATGTTGAATGAAATCTTTAGTACAAAACAGCTGTCCACTCTGTTTTAAAGTGATGTATTGCTTTACCACAGCCAAGAGTATTTATGCTATTAACAATTTATATACAATAATAATAATAATAATAATAATAATAATAATAATAATAATAATAATAATAAATAGGGGACAATAACCGAAAAATCGTGATATCGTTTCGTCAAAGTTCTCACAATAATATCGTGAACCATCACAATATATCGAATTCCAAGTCTCTTTGTTTAAATTAAGAGTTATGATGCAGAGGGAACTACATAGACCATGATCCTTTGCTCCATTTCAGTGCAGACTACAAGAAGATATAACAGTTCTAAGCACTTTTAAGTCTTAGTTCTTTGGATTAAGTCTTGTCAAGGCATTTTAAGAGGAAAAAGTAGCATATTAACAGTTTTAGCTGTTTAGCCTCCATAAAATATTGCAATAAATATCATACTGTGAGATGTATATCGTGAAAATATCGTACCGAGAGATTTGGATATTGTTACATCCCTAATCATGAGCCTCCCCACCATATCAATATCGTACCGTGAGGTTTATACCATGACGACATTGTCTATCTCAACCTTTGTGAAGACAGGACAACAGAAGTGACATTTATATAATGAAAAAATTCCTGTGATATTTGTGGATCCATCTGACAAGCACCTGCTGTCACAGTTTGGCTCGAACCATCAGTTGGTTGGAGCGAGTAACCAATCACAGGACAGCATTTGTGCAACACCTAAGTGCATGTGTGAATGGGAAAAATGTCTGTGCTGTTCTTTTTACTAGATGAAGTCAAACTTGAATTTCTCTGCTCACTCCACCGTTGAGACGCTTGTCCCAAGAGTGAGGCTTCTGAAAATTCACCAGACAGTCCTGTGAATGGATAAAACGATGAAGACTGAATCTGACAGTTGTGTATTAAATGTTCTGTTTGGTGTGTTGCAGTTTGCTGTTCACAAAGGTGAAGTTGGAGGAGGCGGTCCTGGGTCCGGCTGTGGCTCTTCAGACCTGTGAGGAGATGCTGCAGCGCTGGCAGAGTCGCTACGACACCAGCAGATACAGGTCTGCATTTTGCTTAATAACCCACTTTCCACTTTTAAAGGTCCTATATTACGCAACATTTACTCTTGTACGCTTCTAGCCATGTTTTAATGTTGTTACCTCCGCACAATCATACCTGGAGTTGTGTTTTGTTTCGTTCACACATGTTTCAGTAATCCTTTAATACTGTCTTCATTTCCAAAGCTCAAAATGCTCTGTTCCACCTTGTGATGTCATGGTGTAGTTTGTAGTTAATAGCAAGGGATGTAACGATATCCAAATGTCACGGTACAATATTATCACAATATGCATCTCACGGTACGATATTTATATTGTAGATGGGACACTTTCCTGATTTTAAAATGCTTTTAAATGTTGTCTGCACTGAAATTAATCATGGGATATGTAGTTTCTGATGTTCACAAGCTGTTGCTGCTGTGAAACCATGCATTTAAGCAAAGGAACTTGTAATTCAATATATTGTGACAACCCACAATATTATTCTGAGACTTTTGACGATACGATATCATGATATTTCAGTTATTGTTACATCCCTAATAGCTACCTTTTACCTTTAGTTCAGTAGAGATTGGCAAATTCAGATCTAAAATCATCCAAATGATTCTAGTGAAGAAACAAAACAAAACTCCAGGTATGTTTTTTTATGAGAAAACAACATTATGACATCGTGTCATATTTGCTCTTCAAATAAACCAACGTCAAATCACCATACAGTCTGTGTACCATTCGTTCCTTTGAATTTCACTTAAGAATGGAAAACAATAAAATGGGAAAACTGTTTGACACTAAAATAAAATAATGAAATAACAAACAAAAAAACAAATTTCAACCTTTATTTCTAATATTTAATTAAAGTTTATTTTGACACCTGTCTCTTGCTATTTTTTACTGTTTGTGATGTGTGAGCTACTGTGTCCAAATAATTTCCCTTGTGGATCAATAAAGTTTATCTAAGTCTAAGTCTAAGGGCCTCTTTACACAAGAACACTTGCGGGTAAAACCAACAAAATATTTTAGCGGGAGTGCCTTTCGTTTAGACCAGGGGTGTCAAACTCATTTTGGTCTGGGGGCCGTATCCAACCTACTTTGATCCCAAAGGGGCCGGAACAGAAAACTCATGGCATATAAACCCCAAAAATAACAATAAGTTCAAATATTTGTGCAGAGAAACACAAATCTATTACAGAAATCTTTTTTAATTGATTAATTCTTTCTTATAATGTTATGAACAACCTGAAAAGAAAAATTCTATTTCAACACAATGTTTTAACATTAACTTGTATGCAAATTGGAGTAAGTCCATTTTTCTTGGAAGATCCTGCAGTCGGCTCCACTTTTCTCATTTTGGACATTTTTCTGATGAGGGTGTCACGGTCAACAGTCAAAACGATCGTCCTTTAAGAGCGTTTGGAAAGAGACAAGTCCTCATTTGTGCTGCTCTGGTGGGAGGGGCCACGTACAGAGACGCTGGAGACGCTGCTGTGATAAACACCACGGAAAACTACAAATATTTTAATAGAAAATATAATTCAAATATTTTAGTAGAAAATCAGCCGAGGGCCACATTAAAGGTCTTGGAGGGCCGGATCTGGCCCCCGGGCCTTATGTTTGACACCTGTGGTTTAGACAGTAATGAAGTTTTTGGGGCTTAAAGAAAAATCTGAAACCACCCTCCAGAGTGGAAAAGTTGAATACGCTCCACTGTAGCGTTTCCGTCTCCACTGCCCAAGACGCAAAACTCTGATCAGATCTGCTCTCGTCGTGTACATGTTTACGTCACATACATACAGTACACAGAAACAAACATGTCGGTTCATTTCTCTGCTCTGGCGGCTCTAATAAACTTACAGGAGGCTCCCAACAAATGTACAGAATCTGCAGAGATACTATTAGTGAACAGAGAAGGATCTGCAATCACCTCTGTCAAATTCTGGATGCACCACTTCGTCGCAGGCGAGTCAGACGGATATGGAGGATACCCGGAGAACCAGTTTATGGAGGGACAACTTTGTGGAAGGAGTAGCTGATGAAAATGTTTGTCGTGAAAGCTTCTATATGTCCAAAGTCGCCCTCGTTGCTTTAAGTACAAGCAAACCTAATCGAATTCCACACATTTTTGCGTCACCGTATTCATTGCAGATTTCCTCCCAAAACGCTCGTCTAAACGCGGAATAAAAAGTGAAGTTTTGCGTCTTCCGTTCAGAACGTCATCATATAAACATAGCCTAAAGTTAATTTCAAATAAACACCAATCAAAAAACAGTAATCGTGACTAATTCAGACTGTTTTCCCATTTTATTGTTTTTTTGTTCTTAATTGAAATTCATGAAATTCAAAAGAGCGAATGGTACACGGACACATACAGATCAGACCATGTAGAATAAGTTGTTTCTATGGTTTATTCGCGCTCATGAAACAAGCTCTTGTGTGTTCTGTTCAGACTCAATAAAGTGATTGGAGCCGACTGTCACTGTAGCGTAATCCATCAATGCTGTCTGCCACAGGCTTATACGATGTTCCTTTGCATCTGATCCCTGTCCAGAACGGCTGTAATTTTAAAATACAGCGTCACTAATGCAAATGTGTTCATCTTGGCTCAAGCTCGCGGGATATTTACGAGGTAGTTTAAGTCTAGTGCTGTTCCATTTTATACCCCTCCTTTCAATCAAGCTGATGCTGTTCTTAAATGTAGTCTTGCATGTTTACGATAACAAAGCGCGCCGTGTATTTTATGTTTATGTTCCAACAATCTCCTCCCTGGGAAATAAAAGAACAAACTGCCCTCTCTGCCACTGTGATGTAAAAAATATTGTGGGACCGAGACAATTTTCCAAAGCCTGTACTACATATTATTCATGTTTTATTTAGTGTGTGGAGATAACATTTTAAAGGAGGATTATGCAAATTTGCGCTTCCAGAGCTGTCTTCCTTGTTATTAAATACTTCTTTTGTCAAAAACATAGTGGTATTGTTTGCTTTTCTGTTGACTCCCTGTGAGTGGAAAGTGTTTTTTTCATAGACATGACGGTAAATTAAATAGAAAAATATGAAACTAAAAACAACTATTCTCTTTCCACACACGTGGCTCCACGTTGTAGCCAAGATTCAGACAATTTTATACAGGATTTTAGATATTACGTGTTTGATTGCCAGTTCATGTACATATACCATATTTTTATAAGTCGTACCAGCCAAAAAATGCTTAATGAAGAAGAAAAATATATATATAAGTTACACTGAACTATAAGTCGCACTTTTTGGGGTAGATTTATTTTATAAAATCAGAGACCAGAAACTGACATTTCATCTTGAAAGGCAAGTTATAGTAATAACAACAGAACAGAGAACAACAGACTGTTAACGTCACATATGAACAGTTCTTCAGATAAACTATAACATAAACAACAGAACAGAACAAGTTTACCAAACTCTCCATCTCACTCCAAATCACTAAATCCACTGGATTCTTCATCCTCTGTGTCACTTCTGAGCAACTCTGTGACCTCCGGAGGTAAACACTTCCTCTTCTGTGTAGCTGTCGTCAGACTCAGCATCAGTTCCAGTTGGAATTTTTCTGGCCTTTCTGAATCCCGACAGGATGGTTTTGGTGTCACTGAAGTTCAGGCTTTGTCGATCCACCCAGTGACTTCCAGGAAAGTTTCATGGTGCATCCTCCCGGGGGTGTTCTCCATCCCCACCTTTTGCCAGTCCCTCACAAGTTTCTTGCTCACTCCAGACTTTCTTCTTCTGCTCGATTACCATTTTCGGCTACATATTTCAATACTTGCAGCAGGACAGAGGCTCTTTCTGCAGGAGACATGCACAGTAGAGCGACGTGACAGTGGTACAGGAGTAATAGGAGTAGCAGATACTGACACACAAGACTAGAACCTTGCAAAGCTGTCAATGTGAAAATTTTAATATATAAGTCGCATGACCACCCAAACCATGAAAAAGTCTGAAAAATACAGTACATAACATATACATATACATATACATATACTTATTTACTACTAAAAACAACAAAAATCCATTCTAACCTAGCTGGTCTCATTTGTACATCTACAGTAGGTGTGACTTGATTTTGAATTGGAATCAGTGAAGAAAATGAGTGCAAATGTCAGATTTAAAGGTGCTCTATGTAATTTCTCTGTTGGGAGTCTCTGTGGAGATGCTGTAGCTTGGCCCTTTAATGCTCCATATTGTGGCATTTAAGGTATCCATCTTACATTTATTCAGTTGCTTGTGTTTTTATTGCTCAAAAATACCTTGAAAATCATTCTTATTCTGAATTGGATCGCATCTCCACAGATCTTAAATCTACCTTTCACTGGTGGCGTCATATCATGTGCTTGTCTTCATGAGGGTAGATAAGTGCACTGCCATACTGTGGAACATTCTAGTCTATGTCATCTACTTTAAATCTAATAAACATTTTTTCCTTCCACAGTGAGACAGATGAGAGCAGATGAGAGCAGCAGTATCCCTGTCCCAGACCGACCTGAGCCCAGTCCTGTCCCTGGTCCACGGAGACCCTCCTTCCAACTGCTCACTCCTCCCAGACTTTCAGGACGGCTCCACAGGTTTGAAAACACAACATTCAAATACAGGAAATTTTAACTTCCTTTTAAATTTACAAACAATACTGAAGGTGCACAATGTAACTTTTCTCGGAAAGGGCCAACCACCTGCTTGTGTACGTGGATATTTTGGATGGCTGTATGGTTTTAAACTTATTTATTTTGCATTTATTCAATTATAGGTGTTAATTGTTCAAAAATATCTTGAAATACATGCATTTTTTTTACTCTGAGTGGGATCGCCTCTCCACAGATCTGATTTGTAACTTTCCTGGTGGCGTCACTTGCTTGTGCTCAGGTTTAATGCCATACTTTAAAACATTCTAGGAAAAATAATAACACAAAATAGATATTTGGTCATGTAAAAAGTGTATGGGTCCAACGGAGGGAAATGGGCAGATTTTTTACATTCAAATAGCTCTTATTCAGAAACTATAGCGACTATTGAAATAAATAAAGTATCAGAATGTAGGAAAGAGTTACACTCCAACAGGGTAAAGTTAAACCTGTGATATTCTTCGTTGTTGACAAAAAATTTTAAAACTCATGTCGGTAACAGAGGGAATGAAATATGCAGCACTTTTTGGACAATAAATACAAACAGTGATAACTCTTGGTTCTCACTTACATATCCTTAACAAACTGGTTTGAATATTTGCTTCATATAGTTTTCTACCATATGGTACAAGATTAGGTTGAAAAACCTCTTACTTTTTGAGTAATGAGATTTTTTATTAAGAAAGGTCATGGTAACGGAGGGAAAAGTAACAGAGGGAAAATTGTGCAAACAAGTAGAAGGTGCATGATTTTGTATAATTTGTCAACTTTTTTCTTCCGAATACTTTAATATTCCTTCAAAATGAAAGGAAACTATTTCTATAAAATATGTCAATCCTTCCAAGCTAATTTTTATCATTTTAAATTTTTTATTTATTTTTTTAAATCATGTACCTTCATCAACAGTTCAATGATCGAATAACACAAGATATGATGAAATACATCCATTTATTTACATGATTTGCAGGTCTTTGAAATTTGGGAAATAATTTTTGTTCCATGTTTCATACATGGTCTGTTTAAAACGTATGTAACTTTAGAACCAAAAATGGTACAGAAAAAAGGTCAACAGTTTCATAAACTAGAGTACATATGTATCTGTTAAATACATTTTTAGATCAGATGCATTAACTTGAATTTTTGGCCTTGCTGTTTACTTCTGCTTGACCGGGTAGAGCAGTTGTATGGAGTTGTAGTGGTGACAATTGAACCAGCAACCTTTTGGTTTAGTGGAAAAAAGTCTTCACCACCAAATGAACTCCTGCTTTTAACTACTACAGTCATGTTTTTGGTGACTATATTTCTTATGAATCAATTTAAAGACACGTTTTCCTCATAGAGAGAAGAAGTAGCCTGTTTCAATCTTTCACTTCTAAACCCCCTTTAAATGGAACAGCTCCTCTCATTATTTTAAATCAAACACTCTTGTCCTTCACTGGTTGTTGTATAAATATAAATGAATGATGAAGGTGAGAGTGGGTCGGCCTATTTCCTGAACATTTGACCCGTACAGAATTAGTGTTTGCAGTGACACTGAGGTGGCTGCGGATTTAAAGGGACAGTACCTGATTTATTTTTTTTTTCTTCCCAGGTCAGAACAAACTGTTAACTGTAAACTGTGGTGCAAACTCATTCCTCACTTTCCCAATGCATTCTAATCTGAACCCTTAAAGAAGCCATATTATGTCTGCATTACAGTTATAATCTATGACACTTGTGCATCATTATGTTCTCATTTGGACATTTTAATTCACAATCTTAATCTAAAACGTCTTAAGAAAAACAAGTTCGCTGACTTCTGTGTTAGAAAACTGTGGTGCCCAGTGAGATCAGACATCACTGTAAAAGTTATCACGACAAAGAGTTGTGAAGTCGCCAGCACCTCCGATGGATACCTTCATGTCACACTAGAGAGCAGAGGTGGGGACTTGCGAGTCGTGACTTGGACTCGAGTCAGACTTGAATCACCATTTTTAGGACTTGAGCCCCGTGACTTGAGAAGATTCGATGCTTCTCCTAAAAAAAACATATATATACATATCTTTTTAGAAAATACTTTACTACATGGATACTACAGGATACTAATACTACAGGAACAAACTGGAACATGTCCCACCCACTTCTCTGTTTGTTACTTTGGATGTAATTGAAGTACTGTGAGATGGTTTCCTCAAATGTACTACAGTAATATACAGTAATACACTATATAATGCAGTAAAACAGAGGGAACTACAGAGACAAACATGACAAAATAACTGTTATTTAGCACTCTAAAGTCTTAATTCTTTCTATTCTGACCATAATGATTTGCACTAAGATCTTGACAAGACATTTAAAAAGGAAAAAAGTACCTTATATAAATACTCATATATAAATATTCCATGACTTTTTAAGTACAACCTACTTTAAAAATCATATAAATTGCAAAAATCTAAGCTATATTTGGTACTTTGTAGTTTAAAGACTTGAAATGTCTTGAAGCTCAAAGCAGACGACTTGGACTTGACTTGGATTTATGGGCCAGTGACTCGAGACTCGACTTGGACTTGCCTGTCTTTGACTTGGGACTTGACTCGGACTTGAGGTCAAAGACTTGAGACGTACGTGAAACTTGCAAAACAATGACTTGGTCCCACCTCTGCTAGAGAGTAGTTTCATTTGTATTAAAATAACTATCCAACGATGCTGAAACCTACGCAACGTAAGGACAGAGCCGTGGGAAGATAATGTATTAAGAAAAAAAAGTAACATACAACTGCAAAGATTGTTGCTCTGGAGCTCAACTGTCCAGCCAATATCAAAACCTGCTCCCATTCCAGAAATAAATGTCCTAGTCAGTTTTCCCATTGACTTTGACTTTGTCTAACCAGAAATGTGGAAACTTTAGTTCATGACGGGATTATTTTCAAACCACAAAACCTAAAAAAAAATCCTCCTTGTCTAAACCACATTTTTATAACTTAACTCACTTGCAAATATAGTAATTAAATTAACAACCACAGCTGATTAGACTTGAACTCACTTACAAACTCTACTTTTGTTGTTGTAAAATTTAAAAAAAAAATCTATGGAAAAAGTGAATGGGAATTTTACCCCTGGAGCGGGAGAGACGGGCGGGACTGTTGGCCTCCTTTACTACACAGAGATTTAATTCATGTTCTCAAGTGTTTCCTAGTTTGAACTTACTCTCAAAGAATCTGTGCGTATGAGTTTGCATGTCCATTGATGCAGCGATACATGTCCTATCGTGAGTTCTCAGAGCATTAACTATTTGTTTAGTCTATTTTTGTTCATCGAAAATAAACAAAAATAAACAGTATGGAGAAGTCATCAAGACCCAGAGGAGATGAAAGATGTAAGATGTGAGGACAAACAGACCCAATAATATTACATGCTTTGATTATAATGTGGAAGAAATTTTAAGTATTATTCATAAAAAAGTACCTTACAAAAATAATTGTTATAATCTTTCATCTTGCACAGAAGGTTATTACTTGACAGTGTGATAAAAATGCTCTTCAGTTTGGTTTGTCTTTATTGTTAGGTTTTTTTTTTTTTTTTTTTTTTGGGGGGGGGTTTATACTTTTATGTGTAATTTTTTTTTATTATTATATTTTATTTTATTTTATTTTATTTTTTGGTTGACATTACAATAGAAAAAATATTTATGTTTTATTTTTTTTAATCCCAATTTTTCCCACCTCTTGTATTAGAACAAACAAACAGCTTAACAAAAATATTCAAAATTGATAATATTGATAATAAATCAAAGTAAACAAATAAAAAATATACATATGAACAAATGAAAAATTATAACTAATAAAAAAATAAACAGATAGGAAGTTGGATTTTTTTTTTTTTTTTTTTTTTGAAAGATGAATTAATTTGTGCATGATCCCTCAAGGATAAGTGAAATGCTCTTTAGTTTGGTTTGGCTTCATTATTAGTTGTTTTTTTTTTTTGTTTTTTGATTTTGATACTTTATTGTGTCAAAAAATAAATAAATAAATAAAATAATAACTAACAGAAAAATAAAATAGGTTTAAATTTGTGACCTTAAGGGACCACAGATAGTAAGTTGGAAAATATATTTTATTTTGAAAAATGTATTAATTCATTTGTGCATTGTCCCTGAAAAAAAAAAAGCTAAGATAAAATTGTAATTTGCAATAACCAATCCAAACTTTATTTATTGAGCTCTTTAAAGACAGCACAGTCGACCTCATGCTTTATACAAATTCAACACAACATCCTGTGTCTTCATCTTGTGTGTGAACTTACAGTTAAATGTGTTTCTGGTGCAGGTTCCATGAGCCCCCCGTCTGTGGCTGTGTCCCGTCTGGACGCTGCTCTGTCTGAAGTGTCTGACGTGAGCTCCACGCGACGCCACGGCCCCACCTACATCTGGACCACCCTTGAGCGCATCTGGCTCCAGGCTGGTGAGAAACACATCGCCAGACTGGTGATGCAGTTTTATGACCTGGTTAGACAGAACCACACGCTTTGACAAAACTTTAAAAGACGAACGATATCCTGTCTCCCCAGTGTCAGAGGGCATGACTCACTGGCAGATTAACCAATCACACAGACGCATGATCCTTTACATAGAAAGGGTAAAAACAAACATGGCAGGTTACGTTGATAAAGAGAAAAACACACAGAAATGAGAAACAGTGCAAATTTTTCCAGGTACAACAATCCAAGCATCAAACTCTTATTTATCTGAGCTAAAACAAGTTATAGATTTTATTTTTCTCATCATACGAGCATTTTGGAGAGGAGATGTCTTCCACATTTGAGACGCTCGTGCTGTTGTTGGATCATCACATGTTCTGATGAAGGTTTTTCAGGTTCTATGGTCTGATTCTTGACTCTTCTGGATTGTAAACCCTGGACTCTGGGACCGGCTGCTCAGGCGACTGGTTTCAGAGTGTGCATGGGATTACACTGGACACAGAATGAAAAGGTGTAGGTAACATCTATAGGATAATGTCAAAATTGTTGTTTTGAAGATAAAGTAAACCATTGGGCAGCAGTAGCTCAGTTGGTACAGCATTCACCCACTGATCTGAAGGTTGGAGTTTCGACTCCTGCTCTCGACATTAAACATCACGGGTTGAGTGATTAGATCCACTGACGCATGGGTTGGCTGGTGTGATTCCAGCTCCCACAGATGAATGCTGTCGTTTTGTCCTTGGGCAAGACACTTAACCCACCTCGCCCACAGTGTCTGCATACACTGGGGTATGAATGTGCATGAATGGGTGAGTGGTTCCTTGTTCTAAAGCGCTTTGAGTGCCTTGAAGGTGGAAAAGCGCTATAGAAAAATGTGACCATTTGCCATCGTAAAGGAAAACTGAATTATGCATTTTTGTGATGGACTCTACCTGGATGAGTTAGGGTTAGGGTTAGACAAGATTATTGAGAATATAGTAAATCTGCAGAAATACACAGAAGTGGGTAGAGTAGCCAAAAATGTACTCAAAAAAATTTTCCATTACTTCAGAAAAATATTATTTAAGTACAAAGTAGTGGTCGAAGAAGCCAAGAGTAAGTATTTTGGGATACTACTGCACAAGTAAGAGTAATTATAAGAGTAAGCGTCTTGTCATAACATCTGATTTATAATTTGAAGTTTGTAAATCTGGTATTTTTAAAGGATATAAATCCTAACTGAAGGAGCTGTGCAAGATTGCAGGAGTACTCAAACATGCATGGATCGCACATAAAACCACTTCAGGCTTGCTTTGAAATCTCAGAAAAATCAGTTCGTAAACATATCCTTTGTCCATATGCTTGATAATATCAGTAAAACTTCAGCACACTGTCTCTTTAACAATAATCCTTCAATATTATTATGTTTTCATAGTCTAATGCAGATCCACTGTGTCTCCTGGATACCTTGTTTTGTATGTGGTTGGCTGACCTGCTTAAGCGCTCAGTTTTAGACTCTCGGGGGAGCTGAGTGGAGCAGGAGGCATTATGTTTTAATGTGCTCTGTCCATTCTTCTGTCCCATTCCTGAACGCACAATATGTCTGCCAACCTCCAGGGACCACTGCAAATTTAGCTCACAAAACCTTTCTGTTTTTAAGAGCCAAATCCTTAGATTGATAAGACAAATGAAAACCTATTTTGGAAATGGAAGGATTGTGTTTTGAGAAGTGTGATTTAGTAATGTTAAAGGTCCTATATTACGCAGAATGGACTCTTGTGGGCTTTATATCATTTTATAATGTTGTTACCTCCACAAAAACATACCTGGAGTTGTGATTTGTTTCATTCACACATTTTTGAGAAAGACTTTATTATCAGTCTTTGCATCTCCGAAGCTCAAAACGCTCTGTTCCACCTTGTGATATGAAGCGGTATCCAAGCTAACAGCCACCTTTTACCTTTTGTTCAGTAGAGATTGGCAATTCAAGGGCTGAAATCATCCAAATGATTCTAGTGAAGGTGTATGGCATTTAAAAATACAGTAGAGCACTTCGTGTATCACTACATGACATCGCAAGGTGGAACAGAGTGTTTTCTGTTCAAGAGAAGAACTCAGGGCTTGTTCACACGAGAACTCTTGCGGGTAAAAACAACTAAATATTTTATCGGAAGTGCCTTTCATTTAAACGATGATGGTGTTTTTGGGCCTTAAAAACACAAAAATCTGAACCCACCCTCCAGAGTGGAAAAGTTGAATACTCTCTGCCGTAGCGTTTCCGTCTACACTGCCCAAGATGCAAAACTTTGTTCAGATTTGCTAAAGTTGCGTACGCTTTTACGTCACATACATACAGTACACAGAAACAAACATGTCACATGGAATGCATACCTAATTAAATACCACACACTTTTGCATCACCGTATGCATGCAAATTTCCTCCGGAAAACACTCTTCTAAATGCGGAATCAAAAGTTCTTCTTCTACTTCTGTTCCAACCATGATCATATAAACGTAATCTCTAAATATGCAGTTTGTGTGTTAAACATGTGTGAATGAAACAAAACACAACTCCAGGTCTGTTTCTGACAAGGAAACAACATTATAACACTGATCAGAAAATAGTAATACTTTTATCTTATTGCAAATATATCGAACATGCAAATGCAATGGCCTTTGAATTACCCACAAAGCCAACCCAAGCTGAAAGTGTAACATTATCTGGAGCATAATAAGAAACAGCAAGTGTGTTTACACTTATCCTTCTATGGTCCTGGTTTGAGCCCAGTTTAGTCCAGATGTACACTTGTTTCGGTCCTCTTCTAGTCTTGGTTTAGTCCTGGTTTTCTATATTTGGTCCCAGTTTAGTCACAGTTTTGATGTGGTCTTTGCGAGTGTGAACGCCCCCAAAGTCTCTGTAACAATGGTTAATTATTTGATTGGGACTATTAAGGATTTTAAACGGACAGCAGCAGAAAGGAGAGGGCATGGGGTGAGTTAGCTGGAGATTTGGGAATGAATTATGAATTTATTTTACTACTTTAATATGCAATTTAGTACTTTTCTTATCTTGTCAGTGGATTTTGGACCAAATATATAGTCAAATCATAGAGAGTTTTGAGACTTTTTTCTAATGCCCACTAATGCCCAAGTCTTTAGTCCATCTATCTAATTATAAAGAATTATATTATACAGCTAGCATGACATGAAATAGATAGCTGTACATTAGTTATGCTTAAATAGATTGTTATGCTTAAAAATATATGTTATGGTATAGTTTGATTATTGGTTTTGTATTATCAAATTTTACTTTTGTACACTTTGTCTGTCTGGAAATGCTACGCTCTAAACATTTATGCAAATCACAAATCAGAATCAAGTCAGGAAAGCGTATAAAGAACCATTTTGAAAAATAAATCTTAATAAATATACAGTTTGTTGACATCGTGTAATCAATCACAATTAATTGCAGTTTTAACAGTTTAATTATGTATAATGTTGGGAAGTAACTGAATACTAAATTTGAGTACCGTATTTTTTAGAATATAAGGCGCACCAGATTGTAAGGCACAATATCAATAATGTTGTTATTTCCTACAAGGAGGACTCAAATATACATTGAGTAATAATGTGTTTAATGCAGCTTTGCGCACATTTGTTTACATTTTACAGAAACAAAACTTAAAACCACATGGCTAATTTGCATAAACTATAGGCATTGAAAAAAGCTTCTGTCGAACTAAAGGACACAACTTAGTGGAAAGTATGTGATCTTTCTGTGACAGAGGATGTGCTGCTGATGGTGAGTCTGTTCTGTTCTTCTATCACGTTGGAGATGGTTCCTGTGAAAGTTTTCAGAGATTATATAACTCCACGAGGTTCCTGACGACAGTAGCCATAATACTTCAACAATCCATCAAGAGGTGCAGCTTGGTCGTTTACCAAAGTCGTACTAAAAGATTTTGACAGATTTTTGAGCGCCGTGTGCCACATAAAATTGGTTTGAGGTCAGTAAACACAACCAGAATTAATACATAAGACACACCGGATTATAAGGTGCACTGTAAATTTTTGAGAAAATTAAAGGATTTTAAGTGCGCCTTGTAGTCCGAAAAATATGGTAACTGTCCAGTTGGTAGTTTTCTAAAATCAAAGCAATCCAAGGCTGTACTTGATCACACAATTTAGGCATCAAACTGCACAGAATGAGTGAGAAAAACATAAAACACTGCTCTTGCCGTGTGTGCAAGTGTGACTTTTCCTTCTCTCATCAGCTATAAATAAATGCATAAGCTGTTTTAAACCATATGTTGCGTTTTTACACTTTTATAATAAATGCATCTCTGTGTGAAAGTATTCAGAACACCATACTCTGATTGGAGCGTGTAACTGAATATGTTAGAAAGTACATTTTAATGCAAGTATTCAGTATTTTGTAAGTAATATGGATATTATTATAGAGCGAATGAGTCTCTTAGATAGAGCTGAAACCTAAAAAAATCTCTCTTTTGCCGTGCTTTGTAGCGATTCTCCATCTCCCCTTAGATCACTGCTGGAGCCTTCTGCCTCGATAACAGCAAACATGGCCCATTTTTAACTATTTATCGACCGGAGCCGTTCTGAGCGCAGTGAAAACAGAGTGCATATCTTTGAATGGCAGAGCACACTTTACCTGTGCATGTGCAGACTGCTTTATTAAGGCCAGATCAGCAGTGATGCATACAGTACAGAGCCAGTGTTACTTCCAGTCTCCAGCTCCGGGAAAAGACTCAGAACAAACAGTGCTCCATCAGCCGTGCTCTGAAGTGAGGCAGGCGGCCGGGAATGGCAGGCCAAACACAGAGACTGAAATAGCAATAGCAATACTGTATTAGAATAATTACTGTCTGTGCAATGAAATATGAAGCAAACACGAAGAGTTAGGGCTGGATGTTCCACAATATGGCATTAAAGGGCCCGTGTTACACTATTTTTTATCTGTGTTAAAATATTTTCTCATCAAAAA